ACACTGATTCCTATATTCAGGTGACCTACGAATATTATATTCCATTTGTTCCAATAGATCCTCTTAAATGTTACACACTGGACCTTTAAAATATATTTTTTTTGTTTTGGCATGTATTTAGTTTTTTAGAGATAAATGAACAATGATAATAATAAGGACACAGAATTAGTATTTACATGCATTTTCTTTTTTGTCTTTGTTTTAGTTCTCTGTCTTGTGTTGTGCAAAAGTGCATTGAAAGTGAGGACATTTAAACCTTTATGTTGTCACATTTGGCTAGAATCATCTGTCATTTCCAAGCTGGTTGCGTGGAAACAAAATGCATAATTGAAATTTAAATGAATTAATGAATATTAATTAAAAGAATACAAGCTAAGTAGATTTGAACCCTGTTATCAGAATGAAAATGAACCAGAGTTAATATCTGAGTGAGGTTTGGGATGACACGCTGGTAATTTGCTTCCTTTGTGCCACACAATACAACAACACAACAGACATTATTAAATAATCTCAATTACATTTCCTCAGTTTGACGATAAGGGGTTTTATAGCACTGCAGTATAATTGAACATTCAACATGGTCTAAGCTCTGGGACATCTGGGCTCTTTCCCTCACACACACACACACACACCATTCACACCACAGCTTTTCTTTCATTATGCAACACTAATCTGAAGGCTGTGCTCAAAGAAGCTATTGTGTGGCGGAGCTACTGCTGAGTGAAACAGCACGGTGGAAATCCCTGGACTGCTGGAAAAACCAGTCACACTGTACCATCATCAGAAAGAAGGAAGTAGAGAGAGAATAGAAACAGATGAACACTATAAATATGGGTTAAAGATGAATGAATTTACACAGCAGTTACAGTGTGGTAATATCTACCAGGAAGTACAGGTCCAGCTCAACTTGTCCTACAACTGTGTGACTTTGTGGCTGGGAAGATTGAAACTGTTGTCTGTTGGTCTGTTGTTACCATTATATCTTGCTTCAGGGACACCCTGGTAGTTGTGTGCAAAGGCTATGTTTCCCATGAGTTCAAGTCACTAATAGTGTATATATATATATATATATATATATAGACAGAGTCTCCGGATCTGTGTAGTGAAGTGTCTTAAACCTGCATTCTGTGTAATGGCCAGCAAGGGGGCAGCTCCACTGGCTGCAATAAAACACCTGCAGTCTCACTTCTCACTTGATTTATTAGCTCAGTAAACAGATTCCTGATGATGTTATGGTCTTAATCTCTAGTTTCAAGACTTCTTCCAAACAGCATGATGTTTATTTAGTGAAAGATTTAGTTTAATTGCTCAGACGAACAGTCATAGTGACGACCATAATGCCAAACTGGAGGTAAAATGATACTTTACATGTTATATCACAGCATTTCAAACTAGTATTGCAAATGTAAAAACAAGAATTTTAAATGTGTTATCTTTTTATAAGGTTTCATCTACAGTTTTTGCTAAATATTGAAGAGGTCTGAGTTTAGAGGAAGAAAGGAAGAAGAAAAGGCATCATGGATGGATAAAACAGGGTGTGATGAGTTGTGTTAAGCTGTTGCTGACACTATAGATAGCAGTTCAGTAACAGTTTCATTTCTGTGTATCTGTAATCCTCTCACACAGTGACAGACACACACACACACACACACACACAGACTAGGCTATGCTGCAGCCTGCGGTTGCACCATCAGCTAAATGTTTTAAGTACAGTCATCTGAGGTAGACTGCGCAAAACTTCATGGTGTTATTCTCTCCACTTGTTCTTTTTTCTTTTTTTTTTTTCTTTTTCAATGCATTTTTCACAAACGTCTGACATTTGGAAAGACGTAAATCAAATACCACGTGTGTTTTGTAGCCATGAGGTAGAAATGCTTTAAAGAAGAACTTTAGCGTCCGTTTAAAGAAAAGGTTTCCAAAAAAAGAACAAAAAAAGAACAAAAAAAGCTAGATTTAAACACCATGTAGAAAAAGGTCGAGACACAAAAGAAGGACCACAAAACACGTAACAAACAAGCGTAGCATTGACCGGTGTGTTTCAAGTCGTTTGTTCGTCGGCTGTGGAGAGAGAACGCCTGTGCTGTTGATGTGTGCTCTGAAGTGCATTAGTAGGTTTTTCTGTCTAAAGGGACTCTCTCTCCAGAGGATTTGCTGACAGAAGGAATTCTGGTACAGATTGTTTTGAGGGTGGTTTTCTGACGGACCACTCTGCTTTCCCCTTGTGCTGCCGCCACACTGCCTGGCTGTCTTTCCTTTCCGTCAATTTTGCTGATGCTCAGCAGAACTTTCCCCCCCACATCAGGTGCTGCACTGATGATGCCTAGACCAGAGATAGCAACACAGAGTGGGCCTGCACATAAAGTATGCAGCTCCTACTGTAACACTGATATTATATATATATATAAAAAAACAAAAACAAGGATGTACAATAATAGTGTAAAAATGATCATCGGTTTAGACGAATGAATTCTCCTTCATGATAAATTTCAGACGGACAAAACAAAACGAATCAAGTGCTTCCAATGGCGCTGATACATTTAAAGAAAAAACAATATTACACACAAATTGCTTTAGTGCACATACATAAAACTATCTTAAGCACTCCCATGTCACAACAGCAGAGCTAAAGGACAGCGTCTTACACAGTGACAAGGAAGAGACAAAAATACATTCCAATGCAATACAATGGGCGACAGATAACCCTCAGGTATGAAGGACTTTAAGACTAGTGCCAAAATTCCTCACTCATGTTACAAAGCTTTTCATTCGACTGAAGTATGTATCTAAATACAGTTAGATTACGTGCTTCGTGCCCTCTGTGTAAATATAGTGAAAAATAAAACTGACAATACAATTACAGATGAGAAAGAATGGGTTTGAATTGGATTAGTTGGTCTGGGGCGGTCATTCTGAATAATTAAAATCAATTCTATGATTTTAACTTGATTAGAAGGAGTGTCCTTTGCAGTTTTGCTCTATATATTTACTATATATATGTCCACTGGTTGGACGATAACATGGCCTCTACAATAATAATACGAACTGCATTACAGAGATGTCAATCAATCGGAATTGCTTTCATCAAATGACCTCTGCAAAAACAGTAATTTACTCTTGATTTTCTATTTTCTATACTAAATGAATGAAGGATGAATGACCTTGCCTCATTTGAATTACAGGAGTTGTATCCCATTCTACAGCTAATCCAGTTCAAATACAGCAAAACAGTGTGACTGACAAAGGCAACTTTGCAAAAATCCATACTTTCATACCTAGGTTGTGATACCTATAAAATCCAACTTGAAAACTAGGAGGACGTCTGGAATTAGCTCCCTTGATTCTGGTTTACTGTTATAAAAACAGATCTGATTCGACTGAGCAGAGGAGCTGCTTTCTGATATCCAATACAGCATTTCTGGCTGAAACCAACTGGAGTAAACTAGACCAAATGACATTAAGTCAAACATTTAATTCAAGACCCACACAAAGAGATACAGTAAATTGTCTTTGATATCACTGTAATTTAAAAGAATAGCTTGGGAAAATGTATTTACTTTCTTGCTGAGAGTTAGATGAGAAGATTGATGCCACGCTCATATCTGTTTAATATACAGCCAACAGCTTGTTAGCTTTGCCGCACGTAAACTGCGGGTAAGACCACAAATTGTTGTTTTTACACTTCAGTTTTCATACAGATCAAACAAGCAAAATATTAAACAGATTTTATTATCTTCTGAAAGCCATGTTAGCTGCCGTAGCTCGATCTTCTCGTTTAACTCTCGATGAGACGGCCAATATTTCCCAAAATGTTGAACAATTCCTT